ATAAGATTGAGAGTTCACTAGGACTTGGGTTAAGTAATTGGGAGGAGTTGTTGTCCAGCAAGTGCTGATAGTATAGGGGGTTGACTTGCTGTTTTAATTACCTGTATCCCATATGTGTACATGTATGTACCTGTATACATGGGATACAGGTAACTGTATAACTTGCTTGTTCAAGTCCTGGCTACTCCATTTTTTTATCCAGTTTCTGCTAATATGTTCTTGGACAGAGGACATTGTGGGCAACTATTCGAGTCAGTCTTACCAAAATCAGAGACCTGGATTGAGTTACAGGCTCATGGCTTCAGCCTCGTCCCAGTCCTGGCTGCCACAGCCATCTGGGGAGTGAATCAGAACAAAGATGCACTCTCTTTCATTCTTTCTCACTCTTTTGCTCTGTCTTTCAAGTAAACTTTTTGTTTTAATGTAAATAATCGAAAGAATGAGAACATTTAAATATATAAAACCTTTTTAAAGATTTGTATACTTATTTATTTGAAAAGGAGAATCTCAGCCTAGGATAGAGAGAGACAGAGGGAGACATCTTTCATCTGCTGCTCAATATGACTGGGGCTGTGCCAGGCCAAACCCAGGAATCCTGAGCTTTTTCTGGGTTTCCCACATAGGATCTAAGCACATATACCATCCTTCACTGCTTTCTCAGGTGCTTTAGCAGTGGGGGTGTGGACGGCGGGGGCGGGGGGCGGGGGAGGCATGGATTATTAGTGGAGCAGTGGGACTTAAACCAGTGCCCCAGACACTGCAGGTGGCACTTCAATTCACTAAGTCACAGTGTCAACTGCAACACCTGTAAGATCTTTGTTATACCCTTACATACATTTGGGCAGGGATAAAATAGATTTCACTGAATACTTTTAATTTAAAAATAAATGTTGCAAGTACATGATGAGTAACTGCTTAACTATGCAATGAGCCTGCTGCTTGCTCAGATAGCAAGATAGTAGATAATCTGAAGATAAATGAACATTCTAAGCAACTGGAAAATGAAGGAAGAAAGATAATAAGCTTTAGCTGGGCAGGGGCATGTGGCCTTGTTCCTGCTCTTGAAATGCAGCTAAATTTTCATAGGAGGTTTGGTTTTAATACTTGCTTGAGAATGGGAGAAAGGTCCCAGAAACCTTGTTAAAATTTCATCAGTCCTGGGTCATTATAACCTTGGAAGATAGTAAGTTTAGAAGCAATTTAGTCAATGAAAGAAATGATTGTTTATTTCCTAGTGCATGTCTTTTATCAAGAGCTGTCACATAGGCCTCTTAATAGAACTCAGAAAAGTTTACTTGGTGGCAATAATTGGGGAATATTTTCTGAAACAGAATGAAGTAACTAGACCCAAGAGAAAAGCTATGTTGCCATCAGAAATACATTTTTGCAGGAAAAAAATATGAGTGGTAGAAATGAAGACGGGTAAGGACTACCAATATCTTTATTAGTATTTTCCCAAGCTTTTCTCCTTCATTTTTCAACTTGTACATGTGACATAGGCCTTTCCTCCATTCTGATCCAAATATTATCTTACATTTATATTGTGCTTTTCTCCCCAAAGCTCAGTTGTCTATCTCTAAATCCACTTGACTACAGAAAGTGTTGCCTAACAGAAAAGGTATACATTAATTAATCAGTCATTTTATTAAATGCTCCAGCAAGAGCTTGGAGCTGGGTTTGCCTTAGGTCTACCGACTGTGCAGTGGCTCTCTCGTGGCACAGGCAAGAGGAAATATGGTTTAGGATATTGCAGTTAGAGTGCAGGTCAGCTTTCATGTATGGAGATGTCTCTAACCTATAAAAGATTACCCAGTTTGCTAATTGGCCCTTGTGACCTTTGATGTCTCTGAGTTATATCTAGTGAAGATATCTATAGCTTCCTGTGTTTTGAAGAGCAGAGTCTGTGCAGAGTCAAAGGCCGTTTGCTTGACTTGAACTTCTCCCTCCTCCAAAACACCATTTACTCTGTTCAGGAAGTGGTGTGTAGAATTTCATTTCAACAGGTGTATCTCCTCCAGTTTTTGCTTTAGAAAAATATAATTAAATGAAAAAGAAAATCCTTTGAGGTAGAAGGGGATGAGTTTGGGATGGAAATATTTTCATGCTTCCTTCAAATTTTTTGTTGCGTCTTTGATTTGCTTAAAAATGTGTGCTTCCCATGCATTGATAATTGAATGAAGTTAAACTCAAATAATGGCCTTGGATCCTCTGCAAAGTGACCTCTCTACATTTCTCATTTAGCTAAAAACTGATTTTTAGAAAAAGTGAAGTAGACTAAAAGCAAAGCCTGCCTTTCAGAGTTCTCAACACCTTCAACGTTCTCCCTAGACCCTCTAAAAATCTTTCAACTACTCCTTTCTCTCTGTCTATTCTTCCTTTTCTAGTTCCTAGATCTACTTCCTCCTCCGCTCCTTTGAGTTTAGGTAAAATCTATTCTCCTCAGGGTAATGAGAACCCTTCATAAGGTAAATTAAGAGAAAATTTGCTGGCATATAAGAGTAATGCATCTTTAAAAATAAATTGTGGCCTGGCGAGGTGGCCTAGTGGCTAAAGTTCTTGACTTGCATGCACCGGGATCCCACCTGGGCTCCAGTTCTAATCCCAGTGGCCCCACTTCCCAGCCAGCTCCCTACTTATAGCCTGGGAAAGCAGTCAAGAATGGCCCAAAGCCTTGGGGCCCTGCACCCACACAGGAAATCTGGAGGAAATTTCCTGGCTCCTGGCTTCGGATTGGCTCAGCTCTGGCTGTTCTGGCCACTTGGGGAGTGAATCATCGGAGGGAAGAACTTCCTCTTTTGTCTCTCCTCCTCTCTATTTCTGACTTTGCAATAAGAATAAATAAATCTTTGAAAAATTGAAGAACACATAACATTTATAGAATAATTTAAAATATAATATCTATACTTAAAATTGTCTATATGATTATGTTGATAATAAAAAATAACAATTTTCTAAAAAGCTTCTGTACAGCAAAAGAAACAATTAACAAAGTGAAAAAGCAACCAACAGAATGGGAGAAAATTTCTACATACTCCACAAGTGATAGGGGACTAATATCCAGGATTTACAAAGAACTTCCAGGGACAGAAACAAACAAACAAAAAACCAATCCTGTAACAAAATGGACAAAGGAAATGAACATTTTTCAAAAGAACAGATTCAAATGGCTAACAGACATATGAAAAGATGCGCAGGCTCCCTAGCCATCAGAGAGATACAAATGAAAATCACTTTGAGGTACCACCTAACTCCAGTGAGACTGGCCTACATTCAGAACTCAGCTAACACCACCTGGTGGTGTGGATGTGGGGAGAAAGGCACCCTGCTTCACTGCTGGTGGGAGTGTAGGCTAATCTAAGGGAACCACTGTGGAAATCAGTATGGAGAGCACTTGGAGAATTGCAAATAAATCTGCCTTATGACCCAGCTATCCCACTCCTAGGAATATAGCCAATAGAAATGAAATCTCCATATGAGAAGGGGATTGGTAATCCTATATTTGCAGCAGCACAATCCACAATAGCAAAGACATGGAAACAATCCAGATGTGTGTCCAAACAAGAGTGGTTAAAGAAACTGTGGAACATCTACTCCATGAAATATTATTCAGCTATTAAGAACAATGAAATTACACTATTTACAACTAGGTGGTCCCAACTAGAGACTGTTATCCTCAGTGAAATGAGTTACTCACAAAAGAACAAATATCATGTTCTCTCTTGTATAAGGAAACAAGCATGGAAAGTGTAACTTCAATAATCTGATCCATACTGATTTTTTCATGTTTCTTGTTTGCTTTTTTGGCTGTATTCTATGTGTTTTGATGTTTTTTATTTCAGTTTTATTTATTCCAAATAGTTTCTTTTTTCTTGTTGAATTCATTGCTGGCTCATGGATTACATGGTGTCATCATTTTTCCCAAGAGACTTTGTGTTTCCTTTTTGTCACCCATGTGTTTTTTACTCAGTGGTGCGTTTTTTCATGGTGCTGTAATTTGTTGTTGTTGTTGTTGCCGTTGTTGCTTGTTCCAACTCATACCAGTTGTTGACCTTGTTTCATGGATACTCAATCATGGAAATGTATAGTGATGGAGTACTGGGATCTACCATATCCATCCCTGCTTCCAGACAAAAGATGGATTCATAATGAAACTGATGCACGTGTGTAGACCATGGGATGCTAGACTATCTGACAGTGTCTGTACCAGCAATGTTGTGGTACACTTAAATAAGAGACTGATGGAATTAGGAATCCTTATGAAGGACTATACCACTGTAGTAAAATGGGAAAATCAGTTGGAGGGTGAGTGGGGGGAAATTCTAGTCTATGTAAAATTGTACCACATAATTCAAAAATTCAAAATTATATATATATAGACCTATCTATATATATAACAAATTTCTTTCTTTTGCTTTTTATTTAACTTAAATGCCTCTTGAGAAACTGAAAAATTGTAGTCATGTACCCTATATAGTCCCTAATTTAGAGAGACAGTAGAATTAACTGAATGTATACAGCTTTCTGTGAACTACCTAAGCACAGTGCTCAATTGTAAAGACAAAGCAGTCAACTACAGAAATTATTACACAATCATAATTGATGCCAATTCAAAATAGAATAAGGTGATGTCACCAATATCTGTTTCAATTTTTAAGAACCAATGAAGAGAATTAGAAGTAGTCTCTTTCCAGTGCCATTAATATTTTTGGCATATATATGAAACACACATAGAATCCTAGAAATAAAAATATGACAGATTTGCTGAAATCTACATTTGCATTAAAATACAAAGACAAAGCACATTAGCTATAGTTGCTCAAAACTATGTCTATTTTATAAGATGCTTGATTTCATTGCACTATGTAGTTAACCTTGTAAAGATTTTGTTGCTACATGTTTAAAAATAACCTTTTCTGTTCATATTCCAATGTCATCTGAGACTAAGAACTCTGATTAGGAAGTAATTAGTTAATAAGCTTCATTTTTTTTATTTATTCCAGGATTCAAGAAAGATTCATAAAACATCACTGCATAGTAATGCAGCTATTACAATGATTTATTTGGGGAAAAATGTGCATCTCTCTTGTGATAACTCTGACTTCAGAGATGAAATAAAAGTTTATCAACAGCACTGTGGTGGGGAGAACCTTTGTGTCTACAAGGGCAAGCTACTTGAAAAAGGTACATATAAAATGTGAATTTCTTTTAATTGCCTGAAGTTGATGCTATAGATAAGCTGTTGTTGACATAATATCCAAACGACTTCAATCACTTTATGAAATTATGCATATCCAGGGACTTATAAACCAGCTGCCTAAAAGTAAATCTAGATTTACTGCCGCATGATTGAAACTGAAGTAGCAATTACTCTTGCAGTTTGTGGAAGAAAGATTTGGAGTGATTTAACCTGGTAACAGATTAATTTGGGGATAGACATAGATATATGATCATTCAAATATTGCATGAATAAGTTGTCCCCCAAATTACAATTTAACTATTTAGCTTGCCATAGTGAATTATATCATGCATTATTCTAAGAGGAAAACAGCAGATTGGCAATTCATTCTTTGGAGGTATGCTGAGATAAAATCACAAATCCAATAAACTCCAGGGTGAATCACACCTAAATAACTTGGTTTAAAACTCGGCTAAATGGCTTTTTAGAACATTTATGCTATTACTTGCTAATAAATCCATGCTTGTTGGCATAAGATACCTTCCATACTCAACACAGGTTTTAAAATAATGTATTGTGCTATCTTTCTTCAGTTGTGAGTTGTGTGGAGTAACAATGAGAAGAAGGTTTAAAGGATCATATTTGCTACTTTCTTGCTTAAGAAATCATTTATAGAGTCATGCTATATTTTGTCAATTAAGTTAAATATTTATACTTGGGTAAGCTTCAAATAACATTTGGAGATACACAGAGAACATATAACATTGGGGATACAAAGAGAATTTTTACTTTTTACTTTTGTTCTTTCTGTGTTCCCCATTAGTCAGAAAGAGTGATTCTGTGGGTAGAAGTTTGGCCTAATGGTTAAGCTCTAGTTAAGATAACTCAGTCTCATATCCAAGGCCCTGGGTCCTATGCCTATCTCCAGGTCTTATTAGCGTCTTGTCAGTGGGAATTCTGGCAAGCAGCAATGATGGTATGCACTGTTGAATTGTTGCCATGCTCACGAGAAACTTTTGCTGGGTTCCTGGGCTCCCGATTGTACTCCCAAATTTTGTGTGCATTTGGGAACAGGCAGCAGAGAGGAGCATTCTGCCTATCGATTATCTATCCCTTTCTCTCTGTCTCTATCTCCATTCTTGTCTATAAATATGTAAAAAGGCTAACAACTCACTGTTTATAAGCAAAATGCCTCAACATAACACTGACTGTTAATTATATTAACTTATGTCCTTAAAAAGAAATCATAGCTATATATCTAGGAATTATATACTTAAAAAAAAATCCCAACACAAAAATTGAGTGTGTGCTTAAATTTAGTTTTAACTTAAAGAACAACAATGCAATGTTTTATCACGCCAGGAACAATTTTTCTCACTTTGTGTGTTTGGTGGGAATTTACTATGTCTCATTTTGAGATAGAGTGCCTGAGCGCTTCCCCTCTAGTTAGTACCAGAGGAAAATGAGAGCAGTTTGGAGGCAGTGCAGCTTCCTATGGTCTCACATCCAGCTCTGGATACACGTAAGAGCAGATCCTGGACCACAGACTGGGAACAAAACCTTTGCTCAGTCAGTTCCATGCTGCCCCAGTTACCTTACTCTCAACTGCAAGAAATTTCAGGAGGATGTGAACTCATAATCATGGTGGCATAGATACATGCATTTATTTTTAAAGTATGATTCCAGTTAATAATTTAGGTGAATTGTTGAAATTAGCTATAGTCAAAATTGGAAATAACATCATGAAAATTTTCCTGGGCTTCAGATCACAATTTATTCAGCAAAATGCATTTATTATGTGTGTTTGACTGCTGGAAAATGTGATAGAGAGAAACAAAATCCATTCTTCAGTGAGGCTAGCTGAATGATTCTGTGCTAGATGAGATACCCTGTGTGCTGAAAGTGCAGTATCAACAAATCTGGGAGACAGGCTGGTACTTGACTCAGAGTTAGTTTGCACACACATATTGAGCCTCGGACTTTTTGTGATGGTGCTTGGCTGTCATGAATAATAGGGTGGAATGAGGATTTGAATAATTGAATACTGTCCACACAATAATTTTGTTTCGGCTTGCCCTTGGTTGCCAGGAAAGTAATTGTCCAAAATTGAAAAGTTGGGTGTCTCAGAGTTGACTTGTGCTTCAGCAATCTTAGCAATTTAGTTAGACTGAAAAGAATGTGCCCTTTTTGAAAATCAAAGCTGTGCTTGATTCAGTGAAATGTGAATAGGTTTTTAGAAGCTTTTTGCTAAAAAAAGAATGAGGGCCTTCAATGTTGTGCTTGGAGCAGTAAACTCATTAAAAAGTGGCATTTGTTAATTTGTCTTGCTATTTTATTAGAAATAACAAAATCATGTAGGAAAGTGGCAAGTGCCCCTTTTATTTTACAGTAACTCATGATGTCTTGCAGTTTGATTTTAGCCTTCAAACTGCAAGTTGATTGTTTACTGTATACACCTGTGAAGGCTCTGAAGGCTTTCTGCTGCTTGTACACAGCATAATTTCTTTACCAGCATGTTAGTTTGCCATGTTTATCTTTAAAACAAGACAAACTGTGGCCTCTGGGGCTAATGTGGAGCAAAGAACAATGTTAACTTTTTGCCTGGCCTGCTTTTAATTCCTTCCTTTGCTGCTTAATTTTCTTATACCTCCATAACTTCCTTCTTTTATACCCCTCTGTGCAATCTTCATTAGTCCCTCAAAGGTGGTCCTTACTGACCTTTACCTCACACACTCTCTTATTTTGCCTTTTCTTGTGCTAAATTCTTTGTCCTTTTTTTCTGCATTTAATAACTGACATCTTAGCCATCTTTTAGGACTCAGATGGAGGCCCTACAGCCTTGCTAGCTGACTTTTGCTGTTTATCCCATGGCCAATGCTCTGAATTATAATAATAAAAAAATCTGAAAAAATTTATTTTACTCTGATTTATAGAGACTGGTTTTTATTTACATATTTTATATATTTATCATTTTAATTTTTAAAAACAGCTTATTGAAGAATAAACAACATGGATCTGCTAAAAGTGCATGATCAATTATTTTTAGGAATTGTACAGAGTTGTACAATCAGTATCCCAGATCAGTATTAGGGTAACTCAAGTACTCATTGGCAGCTAGTCTTACTCTCATAGCCAGCCCCAGGAAGCCACTGAATAGCATTTTTTTTTTTGAGAGGCAGGCAGGCAGACAGACAGGCACGCACACACACACAAACACACACACACACAGAGCCAGCTCCCATCTGACAGCTCACTTCCCAAATGCCCACGGTGAGCAGAACTGGACAATGCAGAAACCAGGAACTGCAAACTCAACCTCCCAGGTGAGTATTAGGATGTTGTCACTGGAGCCATCATTTCTGCCTTCCAGTTTTTGCATTAGCAGGAAGACGGAGTCAGAAGCTGCTGCTAAGGATCAAGCCTCTATATGCAAGCACGAGTCTTAATCAGTAGTCTGAACATTTGTCCCAAAGTCTTTGAGAATTATGTTTTGGTAGTGATTGAGCATCCCTAATCTGAATACCTGAAATACAAACTGTCTCAAAATCTGCCATTTTTGAGTGTTGACATGATAAGCAAAAGCTTACAGATTTTGTAGATTTTCAGGTTTTAACTTTCAGGTAGGGATTTTTTTTTTTTTAATTGGAAAGGCGGATATACAGAGAGGAGAGACAGAGAGGTATATCTTCCGTCCAATGATTCACTCCCCAGGCGACAGCAATGGCTGGAGCTGAGCCAATCCGAAGCCAGGAGCCTCTTCCGGGTCTACCACTCAGGTGGTGCAGGGTCCCAAAGCTTTGGACCGTCCCCGACTGCTTTCCCGTGCCACAGGCAGGGAACTGGATGGGAAGCAGTGCTGCAGGGATTAGAACTGGTGCCCATATGGGATCCCGGGCGTGCAAGGCAAGGACCTTAACCACTGCGCCATCGTGCTGGGCCCTCAGGTAGGGATTTTAAACTAATAATTGGTATGGTTATATACCCAAATCCAAAAATACCCCTTCAAAATCTGAAATATTTCTGGTTTCAAGTGTTTCAAGTATGAAATATTCAGCCTGTATCTATTAGTGGGTGTTCTGTTCTTATACTGCTGAATATATTCCATTGTATGCTTAAGCCATGTTTTCAAAATCTATCCTTGGTGCATGGACATTTGTTCTATTTCTAGTTGGGGTCTATTAAAATAATGCTGTTTTATGAACATATAGATACAAATTTTGTGTAGAACTATGTTGCTTTGCCTTTTGATTCAACCCTAGGTGTGATGCCATATCCCTTTTGCTTTACATGTATTTTTTTTTGCTGTTTTTGAAAACTGGATATTTCAGATAGTGCATTATAGCTATAATGAACTGTGGATTCTGATGTTTCCCTATCAAAAATTACCTTTGTTCCTAATTTGAGTATGTGTGAGTTTTGTTGTTTATTTAGTAACTTATCTAGAATAGATCTGAGAAATACAGTCTTCATCACGCTAGTGGACAGCTAGGAATGTTTAACAAGATTTTTTAAAATTACAATTTTTGCTTAGTTTGGTAATCATCATTGATTTTTCAGAGATTAGGCTCAAATGCTCAGAGCCAGCAGAGCCTTCACCATGTGCCAGTGGATTTGTTTGTGGGTGTGTTAGTTTCCTGGAGATGATGTAACAAATGTCTCCCAAATGTGGCCTGAAACAACAGAAATTCCTAAATCTCACAGGTTTAGATGCAGAAGCCCAAACCAAGGTGCAGACAAGCTCAAGGGGATGATCTTCCTTGACTGCGGTCCTCTAGTGGCTATTGATGGTCGCTGGTATGCTTGAGTTATGGTTCCGTCACCCCATCTCTGCTTCTGTTTTTACTTGGCATTCTTTCTGGGTCTCTTCTTCCAAGAGCATCAGTCATTGGCATTAGGATGAAACTTGGGTTTAGGGTGTCATCCTCTAGATCCTTCACTAACCATCTGTGTGAAATTCTATATTCAAATAAGGTCAAATTTTGTGTTTGGAGTCTTGAATTTTTGGAGGGAATAATGCAACCCACTACAGTGGAATCAGAAAGGCATTCACAGTTTGAGCAATTTGTATATCTCTTCCAAACTTTTTTTTTTTCCACCACACTATCTTTTGTTTCCTCTGTGTATGTGCAAGGGGTTCTGATAGACTGAAACATGTGAATAGTTTGGGGTCATTCCCATCCATGCGGTTAACTGAGATATGTAAAGAGATATGAATGTCACAGTGGCTGCGTTATTACCTGGATCTCCCTGTATAATTTTGGGTTAGTACACTGGCTTGTTGCTAGCTCTAATTAGAGCAATAGTCTCAGGTTAGCAGAACCTCTGGCCTTCCCTGTTTAGCTTGCCTGAGAGGTTACTACTTATTACTAGCAAAGCCACATGTCAAAAATTTTTTTTGTCTTCTCCAAATCAAGTCAACCCCACTGACAGTGAAGCGGCTGCTTATTTATGGCCTGCCCTAGCCAATTAGAAGTGCTGTGAGGAAACAGCAGCAGGGGTGAGGCGTGAGAGCAGCACCAAGCAAGGATGCTGCAGAATCCAACTGCTTTTACCTAAAGTTCAGTAATTTTTCATGAATAAGTGCTGCTCACTTTACATTTTCAGTCTGTTTACAGAGACAATATGATGGGGAGGATGGATTTGGTGACCTCACTGCAGAAAGCCAGTGTATTAATTTTCCTTCTCCTGCTGAATTAGAGCTTCCTGAAGGAGGATGTGCCATGCAATGCTTTTCCAGTGTACTTATTTTCCTTTAGTGTGATCAGCAGCACTACCCGTTGTCAGTGAATAACACATAGCTACACTTTATAAATATTACAAAATGTGTTCGGATATCATACATTATATAATCTTAAAGATTGCTGTGTGAAATGAGTAGACTGGTGCTGACTTCTCACACATCATTCTCATTTTGTAAGTGAGAATGCTGAAATACTACAAAGTCAAATGGTTTACAGAGGAACATTCCACTAAGTGGAGAATAAGGCACAGACTCAAACGATGTATGATCTATATTTTTTCTATTTTCTTGTGAAAAAAAAAAGCCTGGTTGGGAGGTGTCCTTGTATGTTAAAATACAAAATTAGAAATAAATAATAAAATATTAAAGATAGTATCAATCCTTGTACAGTAAGATTGAAACAAGGTGAAAGAAAGTGGAATGTAGCTGTGTATATGCTTGAGCTATGTGGACATCAAATGGAAAGGAGTCACATCGAGAAGTTGATTTTCTCAGCATTTGCTTGACTTCATGATTTCTCTGGGTTAGATGTTTTGGGGCACAATGGTGCATCAGGATGGATAGCATGACATGAATGCAGGATTTGAATCTTACAATGACAGCAATCAGACATACTCTCTCATCACCATTTGAGGCATCCATTTATCATGAAGGCAAATGGGCTTTTAAAGCTACTTGTGTCTTGGACACTAATTTTCTCCAGATTTTCCTTTTCTTTTTATTTTAATTCCTATCTCAAATTGTAAGGTATGAATGACAGAATTACTTTTTAAATAGTTTGGGCATTTGGAATGAGTTGCATATGATTCAGAATTTTTTTAAGGGATAAACATATAATATTTAAAGATGCTATCAAGGAAATAATGAAATGATTGATATTGCATATTGTTTATCAAGATAATAGTTCCTTAATTATTTTCAAGGGGCGTGTGTGTGATTTCTCTGGGGTCTTGTGAATCAGAGATATATACACAAGCCTCAACTCCTCTGGAGTTCACAAGCATGCAGGGCAGCACACATCCAGGTCAAGGTTTCTGAAGTCGATTCTGGGATCAGCAGCATTAGCATCACCTGGAAGCATTTTAGAAATGCAAATTCTTGTACCCTGACCCAGACTTACTGACTTGGAAAGCTAAGCATGAAGCCTAGCAACCTATGGTTTAATAAGTCCTCTGGCTGATTCTAGTACATAGCTAAGTTTCAAATTACTGATGTGGCCATAGTTAAATCCATCTGTTATGTACAACAATAGAACATGCATGTGCAGTTGAAAGGTAGAATTGGAAAAGTCCAGGGAAGGTTTTTCTGCTTTTGTTTTTTAGTTTGTTTGATTTTTTTTTTTTTTGAAGAAAATGATACTAAAAGTGTTCCTGAGAAATAGCCTTCTGAATTGTTCTTTAGAGAATGTTTTCAGATTCAGGGTTTATGATTTGCTAGTTAGAACCCTATCATAAACATTTAAAATAGTTGGGGTTGGTTTTATGGTACCTCAAGTGAAGGTACCCTGCGTGTGATGCGGGCTTCATATAAAGGAGTACTGGCTGGAGACCCAGGTGTTCCACTTCCCTTCCAGCTCCCTGCTAATGTGCCTGAGATAGCATCAAAGGACAGCATGAGTTATTGGGTCGCTGCCACTTCTTGGGGTTTAATCGTGCCAGCAGGTCCCAAGGTCACCAGGGGTCAGGAGATAGTGTTGCTCAGCCAAAGAACCACCAGAGACAAGCTGGTGAGGAATATCTGCATTATCGTGCACAAGTTACAAGTTTCAAAGTTTAAGGAAGGGGAGGGCAGGAGGGCATCTTCCGGCAGCCTGTCCAGCCACCAAAGACACTGTAATTGGCTAGAAAGCATGTTTATTTCCTTTGACCTTCTCGTCATGTCAGAGGTCATGTTCATGTGGGAACTGTGCCTCAGATCTTGGGCAGGTAAGCTCTAAACCACTCCCACCAGATAGCAGGTTATAATTTCCAAATTCAAGCATAGTTTTCTATTAATGTACATTTGTCATGAGTCTTTTGCAAACTACTCATATGTTTGGAATTCTAGATTTGGCACTAAAACAAGCATCTTTTTTTATTGTAATTGTTATGAAAGGCAGATAAACAGATGGTGATAGAAAGAGAGCGAGATCTCATCCCCAAGTACCTGCAATGACTGGGACTGGGCCAAGCCAAAGCCTGGAGCCAATGACTCAATCCAAGCTGCCCGTGGGGGTGGCAGGGACACAATTACTGGAGCATTTTGCCTCCCAGGGTGTATATTAGCAGGAAGCTAGATTCAGAAGCCAGGATTGGGCATGGAACTCAGACTCTGTGATAGGGATACATATATCTTAATTGATATCCTTAACTACTAGTCTAACCCTACTACCTCACAGATTTATTCTTTAATTCCATTTTCCTATAAAAATCTGAAAGGTCACTATTTGTATCTATATGTCAAATCATTTTATAAAGATTCAAAATATTTGTTAAAAATGAAGGCAATAGAATGTGGTTTTAAGACCGAAAGTTCTCAGATGAAAAGATGCTATTAGAGCCCAATAGTGTATTTATCCAACAGAAGACAGTAATGTAGATGCTATCAACCCAAAGATTTGCTTTCACTAATGTCTTTCTTTCTTTCTAATTCCAGAAACCTTCCAATTTATTTCCAAAAGGCACCATGGTTTTCCCTTCAGTCTTACATTTTTCCTGAATGGAATACAGGTGAACAGGCTAAGCTCCTGTTGTGAATACAAGCATCGAAAAGGTTCCAGACTTGGAGGCAAACGAGGCTACTTTGGAATTGTGTGCGTGGAGAAAGCATCTCCTTGCTACAAGTATGGAGTTCAGTGTACTTTGGTGGGCGGCAAGTTTTGCCATATTTTCCTTCTTATGCGTTTGTTAGTATGATTTTCTGTGAAACTGGTTGAGAAAAATCAGTATAGAGAAATATCCATCTATATTAAGATTCAGTTATAATTTTGAATATACTTAAGTCATGACATAAATCAAATTAGCAGATGTATTCAGAGACAAAAGCTGATGATGTCTTAAATTCTGTCTCACTTTAAGTTTCGCCCTCCTCTATATTGCCTTTAATTGTTTCTGAAATGAAGAAGAGAGGAGTTTTATTCCATCCCACCTCCTGTCTGTTTAATAATTGATTTTGAACTAACCTCAGATATTTAACATTTTGTTTTTACTGGGAACGTTCAAAATTCTATTAGCTTTTCAAAAAAATTCAATAAATTATTGTCAACCATTGTTATCCCACTGTGCTACCGAACATTAGGAGTTATACCTCCTACCCAGGTGTACCCTAGTACCCTTTAACCATCATCCCTCTGTAACTCCTACCCTACAGCCTTCCTCAGTTCTGGTAAACACTATTCTAGTCCTACTTCTATGAGACCAACATTTTCGCTTCCACATATAAATGCACATGTGTAGTGTTTGTGTTTCTGTACCTCATTTCACATAAAATAATACCCTTCAGTTCCATCACTGTTGCTGCATATGACAGAATTTTATTTTCTTAATAACTGAGTATTTCATTGTATGTAAAAATAGACGACATTTTATCTGTTTGTCTATGTATTCTGTATTTTGGCTTTTGAACATGGTGTTGCCAGGAAAGTGGGATTTCTCTTTGACATACTTATTTCATTTCCTATCTGTTAATTCTGTTTTTGTTACCTACATGTTCAGTGTCATGTCTAAAAAGTCCTTATCAGGAGAAGGAACCCAAAGCATTTTCCTTGTGTTTTATTCTAATATTTTCATAATTTCAATTCTCACACTTAAATATTTGGCCCATTCTTCATGTATCAGCTCAATTTCCTTATGTGAAAATCAGAGTTATGGAAGAAGGAAGGAGAGTGTGCGAGAGAAACCAGAGAGAGAAAGGAGGAGAAAAGAAAAAGAGAGGGAGAGACTGAGCTTTTTCTACTGTTCCACTCTGTAAAAAGGCCAAAATGGCTGGGATGGATGAAATTGAAGCTAGGATCCAGGAGCTACAAACAGGTCTTCCATGTGGGTGACAGGGTCCCAAGTGCTTGATCATCTTTTTGGAGCTTTCTGGTATACATTAGCAGGAAGCTGAATCAGAAGTGGATCAGTCAGTATTATAAATGTGCTTACATGGGATGCTGACACTCAGGTAGTTGCATAACTTGCTGTGCCCCAATGCTTGCCCCTGATTTATCGATTTTAACATTTTTAACATGGAGTTTCTGGGTTTTCTCTGTGTAAATTCAATTTATCTGCAAACCTTGGAATGACACTTTCATGATGTTAGTTTTAACTTTATCAGCTTTAATTCAGGACATTTTATTTGAAATCATTAGTCTTGCTTCCAGAATTGGATTTACTAATTTTTTTCCAAAATTTCTCATGGAGATTTGATTAATATCAAAATATAGGCATGAATCAAGCAAAGTTTCTGCCTCTGTGGAACTAATTCTAATAGAGCAAGGTCAAATAACATACCATTAAACCTATAGATATATATATGAGATGCTAATACATGTGATGAATATGATACAGGGTAAGCGACATATAGGAAGTTAGAGGCAACCAGAAACACAGAGGAGCTTTATTTTACAAAGATTGGACCAGTTAAAAAGCATCAACAAGAAAGGCCTCTTCGATTAAGAGGTCATTTGAGCCCAAATCAGAAAAAAAATTTCTTTCTCCAAATAAATTTTCAGATAGAGGAAAAGGATATTTAGAGGGTTTAGAGGGTATAAAGTAGTGTCATGCTTGGTGTATCTTACCTTACATGACCAGTGACAAAAGAAAGAATGAAACATTGGTAAGAGATGAAGTACTAGAGACAGAAGGGTCAAGCATGCAGAGTTCCAAGATGCCTGCGAGGATGCTGATTTTTATCTTAGAGTAATAGAGAGCCTTGAAGGTAAATTTCAAGTGACGATATAATGACATGATAGGGGCTCCTATGGCAAAAATAGATGAGCGTTGTTGGAGAATATGTTGAAACGACAGGAAGAAAAATGATGGAGAGAATTAGAAGTGGTTGGGTTATAGGATTTTGAACAGGGAGCTTATAGTACTTACTGAGGAATGGAAACAGGGATGAAAGTAAAGAGCAGAGTCAAAGATGACTGAAAATTATTGGCTTGAGTAGTTGAAACAATGTCCAAAGTAATATGTAGTTAAAATAGAACTGTGGAAGAAGCAGCTTTGAATGGTGAACTGAATATTTTGTTTTGGATACATTGAGTTTGAGACATCTGTGAGATATACAAATAGATACATTAAGTAGGCAGCTGAATATGTAAATCTGGAATAAAGTGAGAAGTCCAGGATGGAGATAGGAATTTGACAATAGCTTTTGTATGGGTAGCATTTAAAGTTATGAGATGGGATATCATAGCATAATTGTTGAATGTAGATAGCGAAGGTATATGAGTAATGAGCTCCATTTGCATCTCAGATGTGAAGGAGGTGAGAAGGAAAGTCAAAGATTAGAAAGAGAAGCCAGAGTAAGATCTTGGAAAGGAACAACAGAGATGAAGGATAGGGCATGATGAGCCTGTTTGAATGTGTGGATAGATCAAATGGGGCTGAAGTCTGAGTATAGCACTGAGCACTGATTAGGGAGTATATTGATTATTGGGGATTTTGGCACAGGATCTTGTAGTGCAGTAGGGGTATAAACTTGAGTGGAATGATTTTTCATTCTAATTAATTAGAAAAGAATTAAGGCCAAAGATTGTAGATAAGTTTTAAAAAGAGCTTTGCGATTAAGGTAGTTGGGTGGGGTTAAGCAATCAAGGTGGTAGATAGTATAATATGTTAATACACTGATAGGTAGGATTGACATCTTACAAAAGAAGTTGATAGGGCATTTCAAGGAGGGAGAAAGTGTTAGGTTAGAGATAGTGCTTGAGTAGACCAGAGAGAATGTGATCTATGACAACAGTAAAGACAAGCCTTAAGAAGAGGAGAAACTGAAGAGTTAAGAGGAGAAAAGGTGGCATATAGGGTAGAGAGAGACACACTTATAGATGTGCTGAAATCAGCTGAAAGTTCTCTGCTGATTATTTGTAATTCCTAAAAAAATAAAAGAACTATCAGCTGAAGTTACATCTGAGGGAAATGTAGTTGGAGGTTTGAGAAGAGAGAAGAAATGTAAAAAAAGAATCATCCAGACAGTGAATGAATAGTCTATGGTAAAACTGTGCCTGTGTCCATGCTGAGTTATATTCAGTTATACTTAGGGTCGCCTGAGTTTCCTTCTAGTTCCACTTCAGCTGTACTGTTTTTGTGGAGAGGTCATTTAACATTCTTCTATTTAACTCATATGAAACAATGACCTTACATATAAGCATCTGTGTGCAAATATATTGCCTAAATCCAACCATGAATATTTAGCTCTGAGCACTTTCTGCAGATGTTTAATAATTCGTATCAAGATAAGACTGATGCAATCTATTTTAATATTTATACCTACTAACTTCCGTACAAATCTTTCTATGATTTGAACACGTGGTTCCTTCTGGCTTCTTTCTTTGACCTCACAATATCAAAATGGTTATGCATCCTGAATGATTCCCTTCAGATGCATAAACTACTCAAGTCAAAGTGGCCTTTTAATTAGTATATTTATTTACTCTTCTAAGCACCTTGATGATCCCAGGTATGCATTAATAATCTACGTGTGTATTTATATAACTTAGACAAGCATAACCACTCAGCATCAAGCATCACTCTCAATAAAACTATCTATTTGAACTTACTACTCCTATCATTAGAAACTTATGAACATCTTAACCCCATTAGTAGAGTAAAACAGAAGCGGATTGTACTTACCTGAGTATCCTAGCTTGGCCCTTGCACCCTGAGACTATTATTCTATAGGTACCAACACTGATGAATTCCAGTGAGAGTTGAGGACTATCTAGGCAGAGACTGGCAACGTTTATTATTTTCTGTAGTTCTTTATTACAGACCCATAAGATTGCTTGTAGTTATTTTAAGAAATGTATGTTAGTTAAAGTGGTTCAAAGTGAAATAAATTTCTTTAAATTATAAGAAAAAGGAAAAGACAGGGCATGAGAGAATAAAACATTAGGGAGCCCTAGTTCTAAAAGTAGTTAGAAATTGCTTGTTAAATGTTCTCAGTAAAATGAGTTGAGCAGTGGTCGGTTCCAAAATATGAAGAGCTCACTATTGTGTTCATTCCTCAGTCAATGGAACTGTTTTAAAGGACACAGCGGTCATTTTCTGTTACCAGAGTGAAACACAGGAAGAATAGTTGCATAGACAGGTAGGATACATAATGCTTTGGGCTTCAGAAATCAGAATCAACACTTTGAATTATACTGAGAAGGCAAATAGGTAGTTAGCACAGAGGATGCAACAGATGACATTCACTCACTCTGTCCAATTCCCATCAACAGACGAGCAATAAAATGTGAGTGTGCGGTATGGAGGCATCAGAGCTTCTCCGTAGTCACAATGTAAACTGAAAGTCAAAGCACATCCGAGAGCCCAAATCAGTGGATTTGATTCTGCCGTGGTAAGGGATGAACAACTTGAGCGGAAGGCACTGCTAGTAATCATTCCGTGAAGATTTGTGACACCTTTATTCCAAAGAAAGCCATGTGCTAAGCACATCATTATTACAGTCAAAAATAGGTTAGATAAGTATATTCTTATTATCTCATTTTTTTTCACAACCTGACAGTTACCTTGAGAACAAATACTTTTAGCTTGATTTTATGAAGAGATATTAGAAAGTTAAGTAATGTAACTCAGTTCTCAGATTTGCTTGTTGGGAGAATTCATTAAAATCCATTCCTATGCTGTTTCCAGCACTAGCACAGCAAAAAATCTTCAGCTAATGTAATTGCCATTAGATGAAAAACTACTAAATTTAAAAAGGCAAAGAGACACTGAGACACACAGAGACAGAGACAGAGACAGAAAGACATGTCTTCCACCCAATGTTTCACTCTCTAAATATCCATAATGGCCGGGGCTGGGCTAGGAAGAAATCATGAGCCTGGAAGTGCTTGTAGGTCTCCCTAAGGTGACAGGAACCCAGGGACTTGAACACATCACCTGCTGCCTCCCCGGAAGCTGGGAGTCAATTGGGGTGTGAACCCATACACTCTGAAATGGGCTGTGGGTGTCACAGGCAGTAACTTAGCTTCTGTGTCAGTGCCCACCCTTGCTATTGGAGTTGCCTGAGATGGAGGTAATTTTCAAATTTTGCATAATATTCCTATGTTTTCCTGAACTGAACAAACATCACTATATTTGGATCCTTTTTCTCCTAACAACTATAAATTAATCAACTTCTGATGGTGGTTTAGTATGGAGAGAGGGGAGCGTATGGGGTTGGAGAGAAGGACGAATTTAGAGACTGATGATTGCTGAATAACATTTTTCAGGTCTCCAGGTCTTGGTGGATGTTTATAGTGACAAAGCGTAAACACTTTGCCTGGGTTAATGACTGCAGTATAACATCTGTCTGTGTAAATGGTCACTCAGAGGGCTGTAATTATGGTAGACCAGTGTAGCTATGCCACTAGGTGAGGAAATGGAGTTAAATAGTGTCAAAATTAAATCTAATTCCAACACTAACCTATGAGGAGACTTTGGCAAGGGTGTTTCTTAACTCAATTTCCTCACAACTAAGTAGAGATGATAAATGCTCATTTTTTGCACTGTGGAGTTAATGAAGCCCTTAAGATTACGTGTAGTGATTACATATTAAACATCATGGTTCCAAGGAGATACTCAATTAAAATATTATAATCTTGTTTTAGCATTTTTATCTAATCATTATTGGGGTTCTTGGTTCCATATTAATGTGAGAGAGAATTAGGAACTGTAGAATACAATTTATCCACATTTCTGTTTTACAGATGAAGAGAAATACTTTCAATATTTGCTCATCTTTGTACTTTCCAAGGTTTGGTTTGGAATGGCTATATAACCTCTGTGATTTTTTTTTTTTTTTGCCATTTTAAAGAATAAAAGCTTACCACCAGAAAAGAAGATTGTTAATAGAAACTTCAAAAGGTTATTTAAAAATAATAATGGCAATTTTATTAAATCTATAGAATTCAGAGTTATTTACTTAAAGGGCATGGCAACGTTTAACTGTATGTTTCTCAAAAATCAAGCATATTTATGTAAAGTTGATTTGTATGTAATCTGCTGCTGTGGCTTTGTTGTTGGAATGGTAAATTATCAAGGGCTAAATGACATTTTTACTCTGATTGTGATTATTTCTGATTCCTTTTTTTTGTTTACAATCCTGAAAGTTATCACACAATTTTTATTTAGGAGTTTGACAAGTATCTGTATAACATTATATAAAAACATCTATGTATCACCATCACCTCAAAAGCAAAAATATTCCTTTTTTTTTTAAAGATTTATTTTTTATTATTTTTTCATTGGAAAGGCAGATATACAGAGAGGAGAGACAGAGAGGAAGATCTTCCGTCCAATGATTCACTCCCCAAGTGTGCGCAACGGGCCGATGCTATGCCGATCCCCAGCTCCTGTCTCACCATTCTCTTCCTCCTGTGACACTGTACTGAGGTTGCATTGTACTTCTGGTTGGAGCAGGTCCCAGGATTAGGGAGACATGAGGAGTCCTATATAGCTAGATTGTTGCTGTTGGTAATCTTGCAGGAACCTGTTGGCTGTTAGTTCTGAGAGCCACACGGACCTATTTTGGTACTTTTGATGCCATAGTCAATATTGTTTTCCTGTGGGACCAAATTAATGTGCTGACCTCAGTAAGTTCATTCCCAGCTCAGCAAATGTTTGGCTCACTGTTGCCCCCTGCAGTCCTAAAGCTTTTGCCATAAAAGTGTACAAAATGGCGCCCTTTCTGCCACTACTACAGTTCTTGATTTGCTGGCCATCAGGTCTGAGGGCTACCCACACCTATCTTGGGTGGAACCTGTAGGAATCCACATTGTTGCAGTTCACTGTGTCAAAAATGAGTTCACTCCTAGCTCAGCATATGCTCAGTCTTTTCCCTTGTCTTTGCCTCCTTAAACAAAATGGGACCTAATTCAGTTCTGGGGAGTGGACTGAGCTGTGAAATTCACCCTGTTCCCACATTGCTTGTGTGTGAACCTCCACTCTGTCTCTGCTCCTGGTCAAATCAAACAGACCAGCAGAATGGGCAGTTCTTTGTCTGGGTTCACCTCCCGAGCTCCCAGGGCAAGTCCCTTACTACCTGATTGCTGGTGGAGTTCGTGCTGTTGGTAGAGTTCAGATCACTACATGCTGAGTGCTTCTGGGGTATCAGTCACTGCAACACCGCACCAGTTGTTTTTGCTGCTTTCCTGTGTCTGTCAGTCTCCAGGTGCCCCTCTGCTGTTGTTCTGTCCTTTCCTATTTCCTGTAATCTACCCTCTTTGCTTCATGCTGGCTAATGTTTGTCCATCCATATAAACGTGTCTTCCTTACCCTATTCTGCCATCTTCATTCTCTGTGTATTGATTTTTGTGATGATTTTATGTCTACAACTTTTCCAAACTCTTTTAGGAGCTCAGCATTGTCTTAATATAGTTGGTTGGTTCCCTATATATAGGATTGTAAGATCTACCGAGATAATTTGACTTCTTGCTTTTCCCATCTGTTTGTCTTTGGCTTCTTTTCTTGTCAGATGGCTCTGGCTAAAATGTTCAGAATAATATGAATAGTAATGGTGAGAGTAGGCATTCCTGATTCAGATCTTAATGGAAATGCTTCTAGCTTTTTCCTTCAGTATGATGCTGTGTGTTTATCACAAATTTCCTTGAATGTACTGAGGTATGTTCCTTCTATACCTAATGTACTTAAGGCTTTTTCTTAAAAGAATGTTTATCAAATGCTTTTTCTTCATCTCTTGAGATACTTTACAGGATTTTGTTTTTCAGCTTGTTAATGTGATATATCACATTTATAGATTTGCATATGTTGAAACATCTCTTCATGCTAGGGATAAATCCCCATGGGTGCAAGTCAATGATCATTCTTTTTTGTAAAAATATATTTATTTTTACTTGTAACGCAGATATAAAAGAGAAATAAGGAGCGATATAGAGAGAAGGCCTTCCACCCACTGATTCACTCCCAAACGGTTGCAATGGCCAGAGCTGAACTGATCTGAAACCAGCAGCATTGTGCTGGCCCCATGATCTTTCTAATATGTTGTTGGACTGAATTAACAGTATTTCTTTGAGGGTTTTTGCCATTTATGCTTTTTAGGGATATTGGTCTGTAGGTCTGTCTCTTGATTGTATCTTTTTCTGATTTTAGAATTAAGGTGATGTGGCCGCCTAGAAAAATTCTGTAGAACTTACTCCCTTCCACTTCTTTGATAAGTTTATGAGAGAGACTTGAAATAATTCTTCATGTAGTGTTAGGTAGAATTCAGCAGTGGAACAATCCGTCTCTGTTTTTTTTGTTATTTGTGGGAGTCTTTATTAATGATTCAATCTCTGTTTTGATTATTGGCCTATTTAGGTTTCCTATGTATTCATGATTTCAGTTTTTATAGATTGAGTGTGTCTAGAAATCTATCCCATTTTACTATTCTTTCATACTTTCCAGTTTGTTAGGATATAGCTTTTTTTTTATGATGATAGATTTGGTTAATTTGGTTCTTCTACCACTCTGTTTTGGATAAGTGGACCAATGGCATATCAAATGGGGGGTGGGGCGGGAAAAAGCAGTGCAAAGGCTCAATGACTAAATCCTCACCTTGCAAGTAATGGCATCCCATATGGGTACCTGTTCATTCCGGGCTGCTCTGCTTCGTACCCAGCTCCCTGCCTGCGACTTTTGAAAGCAGTAGAGGATGACCCCAGACTTTGGGACCTTGCACCTTGGGAAATCCAGAAGAAATTCTAGCTTCAGATCTCTTTGGCTCTGGCCGTTGTGGTCATATGGTGGGTGAACCAGTGGATGGAGGATCTTTCTCTCTTTATCTCCTCCCTGTAAAAATTTGATATGCCTTTCTAATAAAATTAGATAAATTTCACCAGAAAAGATAATAACCCAGTTGTTCATTTTCTTGATCTTTTGCATATTTTGCTTTTAAATTTTTTCTTCTATTATTTCTTATTACTTGTTTCCTTCCACTAATTTGGGGTTTGGTTTGTTATTCTTTTTCTGTATCCTTGAGACACATAATGATCTAGTTAGATCATTTGTCTAACGTATTTTCAATTTCTTGATCTTGGCACAGATTACTATACACTTTTCTCCTAACATTGATTTTGCTGTTCTCTGTAAGTTTTGATATGCCATCTTGTTGTCTTCATTCGTTTCTAGGAATTTTGATTTATCTTTTGATTTAGTCTATGACTCATTGTTCATTCAGGAGCAAGCTATTCAGTTTCCATGTGGTTTCATTTTTACTGAATTTTTTGAAGACGTTAATTTCCAGCTTTATCCTGAGCACCAAAATATTCTTAAGGAAAACATTTTGTTTTGTCACCACAGTTGTTTGTTAATGAGTTGTTTTCCTTTTGTTTGTCATAGTAAGTAAAATGATCAAGAATTTGTTGATTTAAAATATTTTAATTTCAATACAGAGAAAGTTTTTTTTTAATTAACCTATATGTACTCCAGTAAAAACAATTTCTTACTAGAATAAGACATATGGTTTAATAAGCCTTCAGATCCCACTGTGCCACTTGTAAGGACTAATTACCATCTTATCTTTATATTTTTAATAGGTGTATTATTGCAATGGGCCTTGACACCAAAGCATCTTCATCAAAACATAGGAAAGAAAAGAACTCTGAGAAGAGGGAGGAATTGGAGAGTGAAATGAAAGATAAACAATACTTGATACCAGGAAGAAATGGCACCAAGGGGAAGAAAGTTTCTGTATCAACTGTTTTTTCAGCTGAAGAAATAGAAGTGGGGGTCAGAGAAGTAAGAACAGCCATAGAAGAAATTGAACATCTAGAAAAACCGGGACAAGATGTTTGGGAAGATTACCAGGAAAATACTTTTAAATATGGTAACCAAAAACACAGTATTCTGTTGTTGATATGTTTTGTTGTTGTTGTGTAATTCTTAAATGTGTTGCATCAGTTTCTGTTCCTTGTTGTTGTTTAGTTGCATATTCGGCAGCCATACTGCCAGTGAGGAATCCTGACCTGCTTCTTGAGCAGTTTTCCCTAAATTCTTGGCTAATGTTTCTGTTGGGAAGTTCTGTCTAACCCCAAAAGGCCAAAGGTGCTGAGTGTAGGACTACATAGAGAAAGCAGGAGCTGGAAACTGAGCCTGAGGCTATGATGACACCTGCTGAGATAATTCCCAGCAAAAGGGGTTTTGACTGCTTCTTCGGCTAGTTTTTCAATGTACTTGCTTTGGCAAAATTAATGAATTAATGCACTACATGACTATATGATGATAGAGCTAAGTAAAAGCACTTGTCATACCTCAGTTCTTGAAGCTTTTCTGTTTTATGCTTTCTCTTATCCTTTTCCATTTACACTCTCTCTTCACACGTACATTTTTATATATGCAGATATACACATATGTAACCAACCTAAAGCAGTATGACAAACATAATGAAAGTGCCATTTGTAGAGCACTAAATCGGACTCTTTGCAGTGGGGAACTGAGGCTCAGGCATGCTAAGAAAGTAGCCCAACTAGAATTCAAATCCAGGCTTGTCTACTTCCCAAATCTACACTTTGGAATATTGTGCAATCATCAATGCTATGCAAGCTCTCCTAGATGCTGCATGACTATGAATGATGTGCAAAGAATCAGAAGAGTTGCTTTAGCATCCTCTCATAGCCAGGCAGAAAACTTGGGCTGGAGGCACAAGTACGGTTTGGAGTGACTGAGGAAAGTCTGGACTTGGCCACTCCCAGATTCTTGTTCCTGCTCTGGTCTTATTTTTGCCAGAAGGTAAAAAAGACTCCAAGAGAATAATTACAGAACAATTTTAGCCCAGGTTTGTGTTTTTTTTCCCCCTCTAGAAATAATATGACTAACTAAAAAAAGAGTTTAGTCATAAAAGTTTTATCCAAGGTCGCCTCTTCCTATGACCCTTTCCCATTTTTATTCCTTTTGTAGAAAATTTTAAAAACATCTGCAGCAATAACAGTCACAGGGAAATTAGCAAGTGCTATGTAGTTTTGTGAGTTTTAACATTAAAGATGTGGATTTATCAAAGCCATGTTCAATAAGACCTGTTCATTTTCTTCATTTATTTTAAATTAGGTAAACATTTCCAGTGCTACATGGGACATACTTTATACCTGTGACATAGCTTTTCCTGAGATCTTTCTTCTAGTTAATAGAATTTAGATGTTTATATCTATTAAAAACAACACCTGACAGCAGGAGCAGCAGCAGCAGTGAAGTGTTGAGTCTCTGAGGGACAGCCATAGATGTAAGGGTAGCCAGGCACTTGACGGGAGGTCAGAGGGGCAAGGTGAGGGCTGAACTGATTTTGAGCTGGTGTTGACTCAGGTCCTCATTAGAAGGTATGGTAAATAACAAGCCAACTAAATCTTCTGGAGGAAGAAAAATGGAATGGAGGGAATAGAAAAAATTAGGAAAAAGGATCCTAGAAAGCATACTTAGTTAATTCATATGAAAACTCTGAGTCGGTGACACCAGGGTAATGTGGTTTGAGCTGTTGTGCTGATGGAAGTTTCATGGGTAACAGAAAGATGATAGTTTGGTTGGATGATATTTGAGACAGACAAAGTCAGGGCTACCTTGAATTTCATATTTTGAGAGAAAACGCAGAAGCTATTGCAAAATAGAATGCAAGGAATTTTTCTTGTTCATGCTCCTCCAATTTTCCTCTGCTCCAATTTATATAACTGCAACTGTCCTAATGGAGGACTCCATACTGTTCTGACTTTAACCAGGTGTCTTTGTTGTAAGGATACTGCTGTCATGGAGCACAGATCATGCGTGCTTTCTCTTGCTCTACAGCCAGCTCCTTACACTCCCTGCCACAAGCACTATCAGTTCTAACTCTTTGTGTGTTTATTAGGCAACTGGTGTTCATGACACTGTGCCAATCACGTTGCAGGGATTATTGCTTTTAAGTCACCACAACTACATGTTACTTTATGAAAAAAACGTGAAAGTTATTAAGTTGTGCAAGTTCATAGAGCTATTAAGTTTTAACTGAGTCTTGGGCATAAAATTTCTCTCTGTATTGCTGTGGAGGCAAATGCAGCAGTCCACTCATTTCCTGATTCTGTGATCAATAGAAAATATGTGTAAAGTGATACATGTACAGAACATGTCTCTGATATAAAACAACCTATATGTAAAATACAAGATCAATAGATGTATAGATGAACATGCATGTACATGTAGTCATCTCCGTGTAATAGACTCTCATATTTGATGTGAAGACACAATGCAGTATGCATCTCTACTTCTGAAATCAAAGATGGACTCCCAGTGAAAATTTAAAAGACATCTTGACAATAGGATACTGGACTCTGCCATTGTCTATACCTACAATGGACTTCTGACTGTTTTGAAGGACTATACTATTATAATAATATAGGGAAAGCCAGTACAGGGAGGGGACTTGGTGAAAGGGGGAGGGAAATCCCAGAAACTATGGAACTTTATTGTAAAGTAAATAAATACATTTACAAATGTTCATGGAACTAGAATCAAAAGATTAACTTAGGGCGCAGCGTGATACTGTAGTGGTTAAGGTCCTCTCCTTGCAGGCCCAGGATCCCATATGGGCACCAGTTCTAATCCCGGCAGCCCTGCTTCCCATCCAGCTCCCTGCTTGTGGCCTGGGAAAGCAGTCAGGGATGGCCTTGGGACCATGTACCTACGTGGGAGACCTGGAAGAAGCTCCTGGCTCCTGGCTTTGGATTGGTTCAGCTCCAGCCATTGCAGCTGCTTGGGGAGTGAATCATCGGACGCAAGATTTTCCTCTCTGTATATCTGACTCTCTAATAAAAATAAATAAATCTTAAAAAAAGATTAGGTTATTTTGGTGTTCAGGATATATAAAATCTTTACACAGAGTGTTTGAAATCCATGAAATTACATATTCTGATAAAAGTATGCACATTTTTCATCATTTTCGTACTAAAACAAGTTTGCCTTTTAATTTCATTCTTCCATGAACAATTTGGAGTTCCCTTGTATTTGTGTTCCACAGCTAACTTCACATTTTACTTTTAGAAAAATCTTGTACAATTCACTAAAATTCATTCTCCTTTGATTCTACTTCACTTACTTGACAGTATAATTTGTCACAAGTTCTATAGAAAAATCTGTACCAGTTGAGCCCAGGAGTGTTGAAGCTAACATTATTCCAAGTCATGTATTAAAAACTGCTATAAAATGAGCACACGGTCTCCTGAGTACCCGCCTCTTATTTCTTGAACAAAACCATGCAGATTCCCTGAGGGCAGGATTGTCTCATTGTAATGTCTTTAGTTTTGCAGTTTTATCCTCTTTTACATTGGAAGTTCTCGATAAAGGCTCACTGATTCACAGTTAACTGGGTTGAACTACATGCATCAAAAGCTTTGCTTTCATTCGGACGTCCTGTGGGTGCCATGCATTTAAAATAAGTTCTCCATCTTCTTACTTATTTCACAATTTTTCTTCATTGATGTTTACACATTTCTTCAGTAAGTGCATTAGATTTGGGGGGGGGAAACATTTTGTGATTAATTCTGTTTGCCTTTCTTTGTTGCTGTTTTTTGATTTCACTTTTCCTCTTGCGTTTCCCTCTTATCTTTTGTACATTAACAGAGTTTTCGTCACACGCACAGAGCTTACATTTCTAAATTAAGTTTCTTTCATTGGAGCAGGGTGGACAGCTCTCAAGTAATCACCCATGAGGTCCTCATCTCTAGAAGCGAAGGCAGGATAGCTAACAACTAAAACAGATGCATTTGGGAAACCTTTATTTTCCTTGTAATTTTTATTTTAAGGATAATTATTTGCTTAATTGGTTCTGCATGAGATCATTTTCCTTTTTCATCCTTGCATGTTGTCGCATCAATATTTTTAGTTTTTGGTGTAGGAAGAGAGGGAACAATTAAATATGAAAGATGAAAAATTATAACCACAAGGGACAGTTGGAGCTTATCTGATGTGACAGTTTCTTTTCCTGGTACAGATTTGCTGTGGCTCAGTAGAAAATGAAGTAAATTTGTGAATGTGACAGAAATATATTATTTTGCAAAAATTTTTATCCTAGGATTGTAAATTATTTCATTTATTGTATGAATGAATAATGCATATGCTTTTAGTCCTGGCCTAGGCATGAGTTCTTTGTAATGCCTTTTCTTGAAGTCCATTTGGTTCTCAAAGAATGTGCTATTCACAGTGTTGCTTCTCAGAACCTCTATACTTGATTAATTGAATTTTTCTACTTCAGTATTCATTAAGTTGATAACCAAATATTTTGACCATTTTTCATATGAAATATGACCTCATTGGATTGCCAAATTAACTTTCATTATTATAACCCTGTTCTTTTCATTTTTAATTTATTTCTAATTTATTGTTTTATATCATGTTCTCTTTCCATTTTGGTCATTGAGCATGATGATGTCCAATTGTAAATGAACTTTTATTAGGGTCCAGCCTTATCATTTGGAGCTTCAGTTCTTCTGTGCTCTTGTGTATGTAGCTGATTGCGGTTCTGACCATTTGCTGTTAGTTTCTCATGTTCACAAGCTGTGTGAAAAACGAGAAAAAGGCTCTGAGAGGATAAGAGTCGCAGCTCTCATTAATGTGAAATGGGTTAAATATCAGGGATTCTATTTTCATTCTTATAGTGGAGGCTTTTTTTTTCCCTTCAGAATATGAAGAAGACTTTGAAGTCGATGAGGAGAAACAAAATGAGAAATCTAATGAAGAAGGACAGGCTGATGATCAAATGAATGGAAAGTCAAAGTCACCCTCAGATGATGAAAAAGATAATTTAGACCCTGAAAAGGAGAGTGAAACCTCATCACAGAAGGCACCAGATGCTGATGACAACGTGGAAGATGAGGATGATGGATGCTCTGAGAGTGAATTAGAAGAGGACAAACAAGGCGAGTTGTTTAGTTTATCCCATGACCTAGGCTGCTTGGTGAATGTCCCTACTACTTTTCTTATATATAATGAGATAATCCTCTTCTATGGCAGTGCTTAGCATGTGTTTCCTGAAACGTGCTTATATAATTACAGAGTCATTCCTTAATCCTTTTCTTGCCTTCCTCTGCTGGGATTTTTTTCAGCAGGGTGTCAGATAAAGCTTGCAGTGTACTCAACTCTGTTTACTTAGGAAGTTGTTATCTTTTCAAACCAAAATAGTTCCCTGTTACACATACACACACACACACACACACACACACACACACACACACACACACAATTTTCAAAAACTGAAATGTGTTTTTTATTTAATTACAGGCATAGTTGAGGATTTGTGCCCTAAGTGGTTTTGTATAAAGCTCCTTTGAACACAGGACATTGGCATATTAGTCTCATAGATCAGTTAGTGGCTTACTCAAAAATTTTAAGACTAAAATCATTGTAAATGTTCACAGGAAAATTAAAGAAGTTTTCAAGTATAGAAAAAACATTTATCATCTGAAGCATTCCTTAAGTTTTTCAAAGCCTTCTAAAGAAATTCACTCAGTTGAATTCTATTTAATGAAAAAAAAAAGGAAGCCATTTTTTTTTGTTCTAGATAAAGGTTTGACCAAGGCTTTGGTTATTAATTAAAGATTGCTCATCGTGCATCTTGTCCATTAAGAGGCATAACAATTGCCTTCTTTTACATTTAAGTTTTTGTATGTTCTTGCATTTTTCTTCTCATTGAAGAACCAGATCATATTATGATGATGATTATGAGTTTTGGTGTGTTTTCCAGTTCTTTTAATCTCTGTTTTTTACATGCAAGCCCAAAATTATGAATTCAAGAAGTATATCAGAACAATATGAATAAGAGTAACAGTAATCATGAGAAAATATTTAATGTCCAGTTTCTCCTCAAAGAAAGAATTCAAGTCATTGAAGCCACTCAATTGTGAAATCACACACCTCATACTTCAAGGCAGTACAATTAAGAACAGAAGTGATTTAGTGTACTAGTCCATTAGGAAGGGGTTTATTTTGGCTTATGGTTTGGAGGTTCCAGTTCAGGAACAAGTGGTCCCATTGCCTGGCATCTGTTGGAAGTTTATGTGGGCAGGTGCAGAGAAACCATCACACAGGGAGGAAGCAAGCATAGACAGAGAATAGCTTCCTTGATCCTGAAGTCAAAATAAGTAACCCTCTTGCAAGAACTGCTCTCTGAGAGCATGCTCCAATGATCTAATGGCCACCATCTGGTCTTACTGTTAGAACATGACCATGTCTCCATTCTTAATCCATCAACCATGTACATTAACATATCAGAGTTTAAACACATGTGTGAAATTTGGGAAGACAAGTCCTAGTTAACCCATAAAATTTAGAACAAACCAGAACATAATTTTGCTAGGAATTGGAGATAAAACAATTTGACTATATATGAACTACAGATTTTTGTCATGGGCTTTCTGATTGCCAAGGTGAAGAGTGAATGACAGTGAGAAACATTGAAATTATATTAACTATCAATAAACCTGAAAAACAGCTTGCATTAATTTTTTATAGTGAGCTAACTACTTAAGATTAATGGTTGGGAATTGAAATACTTCTAAAATTTCTTAAATGATACTTTCTTTATAACACATGTTAGCATTTAGACTTTATGTTTCTGAGACTAGCCATGCTTAATATACAAGCATTTTTCTCAAATTGAATGTAAATATTATAGTTTGTATTGCTTTATGGCATATAGAAGGCTCAACATTCTTATGGAAAAGTTAAGTCACACTAGTCCATAACTTCAACGAACTATTCCCAATGACCTGAACTTGGAAAATCATTGAAAATGTATTTGCATGTAAATACAACTGAAGCAAACCACAAAAGACTCTTTGCTATTGTTTTTAAATACAAAAGGATACTGGAAGTCTTGAATTTTCCTTGAAAGGAAAACCTGAATCTCTTGGCCCTGTAATTATGGAAGAACTGACAATGATACATAAGCTTTAGCACTGCTCACTGTGTGCAAGTAACTGCATGAAATCCTGTGTTTGGAAGGGTATTAGGTCCCATAATAGATGTTGTTTCTGTTTACTAGACTTTATTATGTGCTATTCCTGAGCTACATATTTTCTGTTGATGCTATCATTTACATCAGCTAACAGTACAAATCAGTTACCTTTTTTTTTTTTAAACCTCCATTTCATTATTATGTGAACTTGCAATCACTAAAAGAAGTCTCTCAGCCAGCAAGTACTAGAACCAAGATTCAGGCATTATCTGACCTCAGGCTCTGAATTTTGGAGGATAAATAGGACGTTTCTCTAGAATTAGAATTCCTCCAACAAAGATTTTGTTTCCTAGCATATCAAGGAAGGGGGAGAGGGAAGATTTTTCTATCTACAAAACTGTATCATGGAAAATAATTGCAACAATCAAAAAGTTAAAACTACACATTTTAAAGGTATTTATCTTGAGCTATTCATATTATCCCATTTTCTAGGCTCCATATTTTGTTTTATTTTGCTTTCAGTAAGAGGAAATAAGAATGGACAGTTTCCCGTTCTTCTTTTTCTACTATTTGTTCCTATGTTATCATGAAAACAGTCACTCAGTTCATGGCTACCAGCTTAACTTTGACATTTAAATTCATTGTGACATGGTAAGCGTAGGAAAGGGAGGAAGGCATAGTATCATGATATAATGGTGTATTTACAAGTATCATTGTGAGTTGTGCTATTATTTGGGAGTAAAGAAACATACTGTTTAGTAACTTTACTTTCCACTTTGCTGATCTCCTTTGTAAGGCTCATTTATATACATTGCACCTTACATATCAGCTGTCTTATTATATCGGACAGAAAATGTGATATTTATCCTTTTGGGACTAACTTCACTAAGCATATTGGATTCCAGCTGGGACCCTTTGTTGCAAACAGAAAGATTTCATTCTTTTTATGGCTAAGTAGTATTCTGTAGAGTAAATGTACCACAATTTCTTTGTTCATTACTCTGTTAATGGGCATCTGGGTTGTTTCCATGTCTTAGTTATTGCAAATTGGGCTGATATAAACATGGGATTGCAGGTAGCTCTCACGGACACAAATCTCTTTGTGTTTTTATATATTCCCAGGAGTGAAATGGTTATGTCATATGGTAGATCAATTTTCTGTCATCTGAGGACTCTCCATTCTGGCTTTCATAGTGGCTGTGCCAGTTTAGGTTTCCAACAAGAGTGGATTAGGGAATCATTTTTCCCCATATCCTTTCCAGCAACTGCGGATTGTTGATTTCTGTACGTAGGCTATTCTCGCTGGAGTCAGATGTAACCCCACTGTGATTTTGCTGCATTTACCCGATAGCTAGAGAACCTGAGCATGTTTTTATTGCTTCTTATAGCCTTTTGAATTTTAGTTTTTGAAAAATGTCTGTTACTATATTCCTATTTCCTAACAAAATTGTTTGATTTGCTGTTGTTGAGTTTCTGGAGTTTTTTGTAGAGTCTGGATATTAGTCTGCCTATGCCTATGTCTTGCAAGGTGTTCCTAATGTTTTCCTCTAGTAATTTGATGGTGTCTGGGAGGGAGGAACCCTTATGCTTATTAAACTGTATTCTGAAAAATAATGAGTAAATAAGTAAAGAGTCTTAGAATATTGCATCAAAACCTCGACAAATAGGGAATTTGACGGGAAATATGTGTGAGTTTGAAGTTCAGAATCCTAGTTATACACTGGCATAATTTAAGGTACAATAGTCTATATTAAAGTTTGATATTTAAATATTGTATTTCAGTACTAACAATTTCTTTGTAACCATTATCATCACAAATTAAGTGCAATAGGATGAAAATGTTTATCAATAAATTATCATACTTTTTGATTGTATAGTGTTTACCTGTGCTTTTTGTATGTGTTTACTCACATACATATGCAAATATGTAAATAACCTATGGTATTCTTTATATTGTAATAGTATCTTTAATGTATGTCTATAATGTGTTTTGATTATTTAAAAATATATTGTATATGAACATTTTGATTTAAAAAATGGACAGTTTCTTATTGCACCCAAATCGAGCTTTTTCCTTCAAGTGTAGCCTTCATATCCACTGTCAGGTCTTTAACTCAATTCTACCTTATTCCTTTCCTCTCCTGTGATTCTACTGTACTTCAGTAGCCTTTCTTGAGCTGCTTATATCACAAAAGTCTATGAAACAACGGTTGTATTTTTAAAAAAACATTTAAAAAATATATGTATTTTATTGGAAAGCCATATTTAAAGAGAGAAGGAGAGACAGAAAACAAGATCTTCCATCTGCCGATTTCAGCCTTGTGTAGCTGCAATATCCAGAGCTGAGCCAATCCAAAGCCAGAACCAGGAGTTTCTTCTGGGTTCTGATGCAAGTGTAGGGTCCCAAAGCTTTGCGCAATCTTCTACTACTTTCCCAGGATGGAATCAGGGAGTTGGATGGGAAGTGAAGCTACTGGGATAAGAACTGGGGCCCACATGGGATCCTAAAGCTTGCAAGTCTAGGACTTATCCAATGAGTCATTGCACTGGGCCCATCAATTGTTGCATTTTTTTTAAAAAAAAAGTTTTATTTATTTTTATTGCAAAGTCAGATATACAGAGAGGAAGATTTTCTATCCGATGATTCACTCCACGGGTGACTGCAATGGCCAGTGATGCACCAATCCAAAGCCAGGAGCCAGGAACTTCCTCTAGGTTTCTCACAAGGGTGCAGGATCCCAAGGCTTTGGACTGTCCTTAATTGCTTTCCTAGGCCACAAGCAGGGAGCTGGATGGGAAGCAATGCCCACATGGGATTCAGATGTTTGCAAGGCGAGGACTTTAGCCACTAGTCCACCATGCCAGGCCCAACTGTTGCATTTTTTTTTAAAGATTTATTTTTATTATTTTTTTTATTGGAAAGGCAGATATACAGAGAGGAGAGGCAGAGAGGAAGATCTTCCG